GGGTCACATCAGTTACTGACTTCCTAGTGTTTCTTCATGCATGCTAGGCAAGGTTTTGAGAGAACTGGACTGGTACAACACACCAAGTTTTCAATGCTACAACCTACCTATGCCCTAGAATTGTATCTCAATGAAAAAAATGCCTTCCTCCTTTGCTTCCCTCACAGCCAATCCTCTGTCTCTTGCACAGAGTCTGAAGAACTGACTCTTCTGTACTGTCTGCAGTTTATTCTTAGCAGAGCACGACTACAAGAATGTGGAGATGCAGCTCATTAGACTTCTGTTTGTTACTGTGGCTCAGCAAACGTATGGCATCTCCTCACTCTTCGCTCTCTGGCCATATTTTCCACAGTCCACTCCAGCAGTCCAAGGTCAACCAAGCTGTCATCATTAGCAGTCTTCTGAATAGAAACAAGCTTTCTAAGCTCAAGAACACAGGATTTCCTGAACCATATCAAGAGCAGGCACTCATCAAGACAATAACCAAAAGCATTTTAAACAAACAAAAAAACCCACCCCAACACAGGAATCTATTATTATTTTAGGTATGTGATAGCTTTTCCAGACAGTCTCTTTCTAGCCCCAAATGTGTCCAGTTCCTCATAGTAGGATGCTTCACAACCTCTATACAAACCTGTTATATGAAAAGTCACATGCAGAGAACCAGGCACTTTGAACCTGATGACGGAGCTGGGAGACCTCTAAGGATTTTTATCTGTATGCTATATGATATTCTATTCTAAAGTAAAAGGTCTTCAAACATTTGTTGTGTATCTACACAAAAAATAGTCTGTAGTTAGTTACCAATCCTTTCAAATGCATCTAATCCTACTGTTTTCTAGGAAAACATGGGCACGGGGTGGGGATGACCATGACCTTCAGTACCTATATTATTGAGACATTGCATTAACCTCTCAGTATTTTCTTGAACAGAGTCATCAGGATCCCTAGAGACATTACAAATATTTCAGTAGAGATAAAACAGACACTCCTCATTACAGGATTCCCCAGTTCGGGGCAGAGCAAGAATTCAGGAGACAAAATAAAGAACATGACTTTCAGGCCCTGCCAATGGTATCTAAGCAACATGATATTATGGCCCAAGCAGCCTGAGTTTGGGAAACGACAAAGTTGTCTTATTTGCCTAAAGTGGCTTGTTTAAGTGAACTTGGGTGAAAACACTATGAAATAGGTAGGCAAAAAAAGCAAAAGGAGATGGGGAAATGTAAAGGTGGAAAGAAACATGAGGAGCCCAGGAAGACAGGCAGACAAGAGCCAGTATGGAAAGATCCTATAAAAAGCTAACAGGAGAAGTTTGGGTTAGCTGAGTAAGCAAGCTAGAACTCACAGCAAGCCCAGAAGGGAAGACCACACACAGCCTAAAGAGCTTAACTATAACACAAACTAGATAAAAAGAGGTTGACTAGAGAGGCACCTGAAAGGGAAGGTGCAAGCACAAAACGATACAAGAAACCGAAGTACATGCAAAAGCCCTGACCCCATAGCACATGCACACTCCTATCTGGAAATGGGACTCCAGATTTTGGCTCACTGCCTGTTATTTGCCAGGTGGTACTGGTGGAAGAGATTCCACACCCGCAGGCAAAGGCAGCTTTCAGTGAACCATACAGGTCGATGGAGCTGGCAACTACAGCTAACGCTATGCATTAGCTCCAGCATCTCTGTGTATGTTTTATACCTAGTATGGTCGGGACAGCCTACCTGCACCATTCCCTCTTCTTTCAAGGAAACAAATCCAGCAAAGCAAAAGCAAAAAAGAGAGGAAGAAGAAAGAAAATCCAACGAACTGACTTTAACCAGAACAAGCAAGCCACATTGATCTAGCACCACTAGTCTCTATAATACCCTTGCCTCACTCAACTGTTCAGGAAACAGAAAGGTGGATCCCTCAGTTAAATCAATTCTACAGCCCAACAGAACTTGTCACAGCTATGTAACTTTAATGAAATTGTTTGAGCCAAAATTTCTCTAGATGTCATTGTATACTACTAATTTTCTAGGTTCCAATTTGTCATATATTCTGTAGAGTTATAAATCTACTTCAGCTGTGCTTTTAAGAACAATACTACCAAAAAAGCAGTTCACTTAATAGGAACTTCCCATTTTTTTATCTCCATAATTAGAAAGAAAGCTACCTTACCCATTTTTCCCTCAGCAGGATGGAGTTAAATATCTTCCCTTGACTCAGTTCTGTTACAAAAGTTCATCAACATGCGAATGATACACAAATTTATAATGAATATTTAAAATATCTTGCAGAGTAACATGTCACTGAACAACACAAAACATTCTCAATTGTTTAGTAAGTATCTTCAAAGTAGAACACCCATTGAAGTAGCTGCTTGTACAGCACTTTTCTTCTTTAAGTTCTCTTCAGAACCTATAATTATGGTGTATCCATCATTCAGGTGTTCAACTTGTCTTTCATACCACTATTCATTTAATTATCCATATGAAGGATGGAGAGGAGAGGGAAGTGTGATTACCCTCTCTTAGTTCCACTTTCCATGGCTGCAGATTCTATTAGAGTATTTCAAAATTTAAATTACTAGTTTCAGATCTTCCCGCTGTTATGTTGAACAGACAATCATTAGAGTGAAGCATACACCAATACTTTGGATTCCAGGAAAATTTTAATTAGACATATTTAACAGATCCTATTAATCACGCCTTTTTACATGACACTACAGTTCAAGACAGCTTGCCTTGAATAAATAGAAAGATTTCTCTATTTTAACATGGCTAAAGAACCTGCTGGTCTGCATATAACTAAGCTGTGTTTCAGGTGGGCTTTCTAAATCGATTAATTCAACCTTCAGACTGTGAAGTTTGAAAGGCTGAAATACTCAAACAGCACATACTGGCTGAGACACGCCAAAGGGGCTATCCCATGCTACCTAAGAGACTTGGCTTGCATACCAAACAGGGATGTGGCAAGCACAAGGGGAAAAAAGTTACTCTTCTTTTCCATTAGTTACAGGATGAAGCATACACTTTAATTACCTAAACAAGTAGTAATGCATTTAAAGAAACAACCTCCATAAGCAGTTAGGACTCAATTGCCAATCCTAGTAAGAGAAAGAGGGAATAAGCGTTTTCAGTGCAAAACACAGTAGGCAGACTGGACTGACAACAGCTCTCAAATGCAGTCAAATTGAAGCTGTGTCATGACTTCTGCCTTTGTTAGGAAATAGATGGATTTAACTTCAAACATTTCACGAGGGTAGGCTTTGATAGTCGGAGGATGCAAATACAAATTCACATTCTTATGAGGAAGAACTAGATGGTTTTAACACTCAAGTTTAATAGTCAGATTTCTGGTATTTAAGGGTAGCATTGCTGTTTCACCACTTAAATCAACTATCCTATCTGTGAAGGATTAAAAATCAACAGGTCTTTAACTCTTCTACTGCTGCCTTATTGTCTGTGGCTTTGGAGAATACCCTCCCCATGCGCCTAAAAAAGGAATACAAACAAGAAAACAAATAAACAAGGAAATTGCTGTGAAACACAACTGCACTGTGACATAGCAGACAGTTTACTTGTATTGTTACCTCACGGCTAAGCTTTAAACAAGAGGTTGCTGAAGGCAAGCTACTCAAGGAATCAACCTGCTTTAGTTACGCCATGTCACAAATTGAGGTCATTTCTTCTGAGTCTGCAAAAAACCAAAAAGGCATCCACAGAAGATTTCTAGCAAGTTAAACACATGATGAATTGTCACGCCAACATTAGTCCTGCTAAACTACATGCTCAGTCATACCTTCACACATAAAAAAACCAAGTGGTGAGTACGATGGACTTAAGAATCCGTTCACATTACTACCCACTACTACAGCAACAAACAAAAGGCCAAAGGTTGTGACTCTCCTCTTCATCTAACTAAAAAAAAAACACAAAAAAACCACACAAAGCATTGTATGCCTTTAGTCACCAACATCATGTTCAACAATAATGAATGTCTGTCCACCAGCTACTTCTTCCTCACAAGATCTCCTTGTTTAAAGTCCACAACTCAAAACCAATTTTCTTATCACAAAGGAATATGACAGGTGACATCAGACCACACTTCCTTAACTCCGAGGCAGTAACTTTAAATATGGTTAGTAGCCTTATAGAGACATTCATTTTCGCAATATGAAGCACTGGCTTAAAGCAGACCAAGTAAGCAGGTTCACACCACTAATCAACTCTAGTATGTTCCTAGACACTTTGGAAAATAAGCAGCAATTACAGCATAATAGAAAGGGCTCAAGATAAAACTTTTGATAGCTCTTCAAAACAATCCTAGAAACACACCATAGGAATTTCACTCCAACTGGATGTATTTGAACAAACTCATTTCCAATTCATACATAAGCAATGATAAATAAGAAAAACCACCAAAAAAACCCAAACAAAAATAAATAATTATGTATGTGTGCAGAAGAATAGATGTATGTGGCCTAATTCAAGTCTAATCAAAGGAACACAAAAATGGAAAAATACAAGCATTAAAGTAACCCTGCATTATGCAAACCTAAGGAAAACAGCAGAATTTATGCATTCATATAAGAAAAGGTACAACTATACTCAAACACTCCTTTATCTATACCTTTGCTACAAAAATCCACTTTCTTTATTCTTAGTTCAGTCACATCAATACCTCTAAAGAGAGCTTTCCACACTGCTTTACACCTAAAGATACATGAAGGTAGCTACCAGAAACTATCAACAGAATGGCTTTAGTCTTTGAATCTGCAAATATTGTTAACATACCTAGCACAAAGTATCACTTTCTTCCATTCTTAAACCTATGCATTTGGAAACTTACTGAAGTTCTACTTTCCTTTAAAACATACAATTGTCTTCTGAAAAGTACAAAACCACAGGCATCTGAAACTACCCAAGTTTTCCTAAAACATATTAAACTAGACCCTAGCTTTCATCAAATGCACAGAAAAATTACTAACTCTGAATTACTGAAGACAAGTGCTTACCTTCAATCCTTTTTAAGGCCGACAGGCAAGTATCCCGGCTTGGAAATTCAAATGGATTATTACAGGTCCGAATGGTGTCACATTCGCATTTCCCGTTGATTATGTTACAACCTGTTATAAGGTTTTCATTGCATGGTTCGAATCCAAGAAGCTGATCATCATCCCAGTTTTCATCTAAAATAAACAAACAAACTTGCTCACTATTGCATTTTGGCTACAGTAGATAAATTCAGCTGCTTTGAAGCTGGGTGCAATTCACTTCAAGTTCAACATAGCACTAAACAGAAGACAACAGATTAAAAGAAATAATGGATTAATCAAAATTGTGGGATTTGAAAATACCATGTTTCACAGCTGTTCCATTGACAATTTTGCTACAGTTACTGACACTGCTTACTCCCAACTGTATGTGAAACTGTGATACCCTGAGGAAATGCATAGCTGTAGCACAAATGACTGCTACTCTAACTGAAGTTTACAGACACTTGAGGTTATATTTATCAAGGAAGTGAGAATATTGGACAGAATCTACAGCTGTTATAAAAGTCAAAATTGAGTCAGTAAGAGAGCATTTTTAAATCCGATTAAAAAATATATCACACAGAATTCACTCCACAGATACAAATTTTTATTACAAAAAATACTTCAAGATGCCATGACTTTGATTCTGTAATATGACCAAAATTGAGTTTTCCAGCACTCCCGCATCACTGACCACATGCTAGGAGAACTGCTCAAGCACATCACTCTCCATGCTGTCAAAGGTTGGGCCAGAATGAGTGTCTCTGCTCAAATAATTCTGCTGCTTTTGAATCAGTCCCATAAAACGTAACTCATTCCCACTGTACAACTGCCCATTTTCCTGCTAGAAGGAGGCTACATGCAATAAGATTATTTTTTTTCCTTTTCAGGAAGCGATAAATCCAGTTGATCCAGATTTCCATTGAGATTACCAGTTCTACAAAATTTCAGCTCTGTTAGGCCAGGTGCACACACAACATCCCACCAACTCAGAAGTTTAAGCAAGATAATGCTTTTTATGCAAAATAGAAGAAAAAAAGCAGGCATTAGGTATCCTTCACTATGCAGCACCAGGTAATTTACCAGCCTTGTCTTCCAAAACAAGTACTACACACAACAGTCACACAGATAGTCCACTGACTTCTAGCAATGACAAAAGGAACAAATATCTATTTTCAATCTTTACATCCTTCTATTTCAGAGCAGCTTTCACACTGGGCCTTCTAGTAGCTCTACCTGATTTTATGCATTACCAACAAGCAAATTTCCAATACAGATCTTGCCAAGAAACACTTGTATGGGAGGCTGCAGCCCAATACAAACTGTTTGCCATGCAGTAGTCTGACATTCAACAGAAGTCTAAAAACTGAGAAGAAATAAGAGTATACACACAAACACACACCAAGATGCACATATAATTACTGTTCACTCACAGAAACATGTGGAATATCTGCTAATCTGCGTCTTTTCAAAGAACAACCAACACCTGTAGAGACCTGTTTACCAGCTAAGTGCTGTACATGACCTACATACAGCAAATATCACAGTAGATCCTCATAAGTATGTCTCTCCCTGTAAAACCAACTGCTTGCTTTCTGTTACAAAGCAGAAAATT